GTAAAGAGCTCTTGAGATTAGTAGCATTAACCACCCAATCCTCCATGAATTTACCAAATCTTCTTTTAAAACTGTTTATACTGGTGGACATCATATCTGAAGGCAGCAAATTCTATAGTTTAGCTATTGTGTACCAGAAAGGAAGCTTAGTTTTTGCCCTACCATTTAGCATTAAAATGGGAGGGTTATCTTAGTTTTGCCAAGAACACAGGAGTAGATGAAGGTGAGTTTCCCTGCTTATCTTCCTTTGAGGTGGGAAACTATTAAATTCACGACCAGCTTCCTTTCTGGAGAACACAATATGTGTTGTACAAAGAAGTATTTTCTTTTATTAGTCCCAAATTTCCCCAGATTTGGTTTCAATGGATTACCTTGAATTCTAATACTGTAAGGGGGGGGGGGGGAGCAAAACTTTTCATTCACATTTTCCACGTTACATGTCATTTCTTATGCCTGTCTTTGCTCAAAGTTTAAACACCTAAATTAAAGTTGTCTTCCTCATAGGGGAGCTGTTCTATTATCCTAAGGAATTGGTTGTTCTTTTTTTCACTATTTCCAAATCTATAATATTCTTTTCAGAAGTGAAGTGACCACAATGTCATACCAAGTCTTTCCATATAATTATATAAGCCTATTACTATTTTGACAGATTTATTTTCAATTCCCTTCCTAATGATTCTAAGCATGGAATTTGCCTATTTTACAGCAGTTGAACCCTAGACTTTTTTTCATTTTTTTCATTGAGCTAGTCATCATGACTCCAACTGCTATCAGTTTCAATTCTTTATTGTATACAGTAATACCTTGGTTCACGAATGCTCTGTTCACGAACAATTCGGTTTGCGAACAGCAGCGTTCACAAAATTTTGCTCCCGTTCGTGAACTCCGCATCGGGTGACGAACACGACCCACAGCCATCTTCCCTGCTCTGACATGTGGTTGTGGCTTCCTCTAGGCGAGATTGCGGTGTCACCTCAAGCAAAGTTAGTGTTTTCTAACTTCATACTGTACTGTACTGTACTTTGTTTCATATTTTTGTGGTTAAAAAAAAATACATATGGTTCAGAATGGATTAACCTAATTTACATTGAACCTTATGGGGAAATTTGATTCGGTTCACAACCAATTCAATTCGCGACCAGAATCATGGAACAAATTAAGTTCGTGAACCGAGGCACCACTATATTTGCACCAATGTCCTTTAATTCACTCTTGCTTACACTGAACTGCATTTACCATTGGGAGCCCCAGTGAAGTTAGTTCCTTTCGGTGCACCTGGCAATTCCTTTTAAATTTTACTACCCTTATTGGTAGTAAAATTGGTTTGGTACCATAAGCAAATATGGCCACCTCACTGCTCATTAATAACTTCATTTATAATCATGTTAAATGCACTGGTCCTTGGGAACCTCACCTTGCACATCTCTCCAATGTGAAAATGGTGCATTTTCCCCTAATCATTCACAGTGCAAATCTATATTCCAATTAAGCTGGGAGTGAGGAAGAGTTACCACATACACTGACAGAATGGCTGCCATTCTGTGCATATACAGTGTCCAGAATAAGTTAATTAACTAATGGCCTTTTTAAATTAATATGTAACTTTCCAATTATATAATACCTGCCAGATCTTGCAGTCTCTGCTTTTGAGGATTTTGAGAAAACAGATTAATGTTGGAGACAGAAACCTTATTTCTACACCCTGGCCTTGAAAAGCCTATATACTTGCTGAGTAAGACCACCCTGGCAAATCTAGATAAGTAGGGTTGTAAAGCATCATCATCAAAATATTAACTATCCCAAGGGATCTTTTACTAGCATTTTAAAAAACAGTTAAGACTCTACAAATCAACTCTATCCATTTTTGTGAATCTTGTAAATCTACAATTTTCCAGTAATTTATCAACCAATTAAAGTTAATATTTTACACTGCCTGCCTTTCTTTCTGCCACAGCCATCAAATAACAACACAATGCACTTATGATTAAGGGGCCATCACTATTCATTCAATCTTCCCCAAATTACTATGCAGGAAATGGGAGGACATAGAGCAAGAAAGGCTTATGAATGGTTGCACAGTAACTTCTTTTTTAAGATATTTAAGGCTTTGACAAGGGAAGCAAAATAGCACTTTCATCTTAACCAAAATAATGAATAGCTGTAACAAATTTTGCTAGTTCAGTGAAGAGGTGTTGAATTAATCTGCATAGACAACAGGAGTCTTTGAATTTAACAGGTTTATAGCAACACAGCTGTCATCTCATGCTTAAAAAGAGTATTTGCTGGAGATGCACTAAAGAAAAAAAAATCAGATTCATGAAGTTGCCAAAAGCACATGACAAAGAATACAAGGATTAACAAAGAAATATAATTTAGAATAGATTTTGCACATCTTAATATGGTACATCACTCTGAAATTCCAATGATATAATGTCCTATTATGATCTTGTGCATCATCTGTCTCATCCAGCAAAAAGGAACAACTATTACAGTCAGATCAGGGAAGACTTGCAGGGCATATAATGGAATCTTGTATGATCGAGAAATTGTAGTCTACAAAGTGGTACTCATGATTCTCAGTAATATTGTTGCTATGATTGTTGTTGTTATCAGCCCTTATCAATCCACTTTAGGCCTCTTTGCTAAAGGATACGGACAGCAGTCTACCACACTGGTCCACTGTGGTTGGTAGCTAGATGTTTTCAACTTCCCAGTCTAGGGACAAGGCAGTGACTGACCCAATGTCACCCAGATTGTTTTTATGTTCAAGGAGGACTACAACCTGGATCACCCTGATCCTAGTTCAGCACCTTAATCACTACACCACACTGGCTCTCAATCATGTTATATGAATGTGCAAATAAAACAAAGCAACAAGGAAAGTCACAGAGAATCTCTAGATATCCATAAATAGATTTGTTTAGATATAAGAGAACAAAAAAGGTCTTTACTGACAGCTGATTCAAATGGTTCTGTGCTCACTAGAAAAACTAGAAAACTGACAAATAAGACAATAAAAGACAAAACTATGAAGGATAATATGCTCCTATCATAGACCAGAAATATCACTTTTGTCATACTGCAAATGTTCTCCCAAAGCAACTGTATGTTGGAAAACATCACCAATTGAGAATTGCATACTGGTATGTAATGGCAGATTCTTTCAGACTCTTTCTTCAAGCTTAGACAAGGGCAAAAGAAACTTATCATGCCCTATCCCTTACACTACAGAGTAACCACATAGGCCTGGAGGCTCTTGTTTTAAACCCAGAAAGCCAGACCTTTATTTCCAGACAAAGGTCAAAAGCTGTTCTGCAATAGAACTCTTAGATGACCAAAAGCCACCAATTAAAAAAGTTCATTTCAACAAATGGAAAGACAGCAAGTCCATTAAAATTTCACTCATTTCTGACACAATCCATTCAATGAATGAATATCTTTTTTTTCTGCCTTGTGAATTACAATTTCTTTCACATGATGTCAGATATCATATGAAGGAATTCATTGAAAAAACATTAAATATGATCATATAACATTGTTTAATTAATTTGAGACCTTTAGAAGCATTTAAAATGGTCTGTGAAAATGTCAAGTTTGACTCCTAGTGACCACATAGACCCAGACATACAGTTTTATTGGCAAAATATGAAATGTTTTGCCATTGTCATCTATCAGGATTTTTTATTTAAAAAATTCCCAGCCAAGTCTACAACTGGGTGTTCTCCCATCCATGCACTAAACAGATTTAACCCAGGCTAACATTTTCAAGATCAGCAGAGGTTGTTTAGGTGCTACAACCTGCTGTGATTAATCATGGTGTCATACAATAAAGTCTAAAATCCCCAACTACTATCAGTAAAACAACTGGAAACATAAGGACAGTATATTTGGAAAGAGAAAAAGAAAAGGAACATTCAAGCACGACTAAAATTACTGAAGACTGCAAAGGAAAGTAATCATAATGAGAAATCAAGTACTGTGCATATTTGTATGGGATAGCGAAATATACAACTAGAATCGCTCATTGAATGAGATGGGCTGCAACTAAATTTGAAATATAAATAAATAAATATTCAACACTTTACAGGTACTGATGTCATAGGACTCTATTCTGAAGTAGTTTTAAGTGATAAAATATATCAATCTATAAAAGAGAATATGTGTAGCTCAGGGTTGAACTGTGGAGTCCTTAGAGTTCTAGAGGAAATTAGATAAAACACATGAAACCATCAACAACATCTTCAAAGGTATAAAATTCACCAGAGAGGAAGAAAACAACAACACGCTACCCTTCCTGGATATCCTCATCA